TTTGGAACCAAGCAAAATGTTTCCAGAAACTGTGCGCTTAACCACTGTGGCATATTATCTAAATTTATTTTTAAATGCCTTGATAAATATTTAAAACAAATAAGTTATGTTTGAAAGACATTCAAATATATTTTGGTTAAAAAATAAACACAAAAATTGTTTTAATTTCCTAATATTAAATAAATTCTCAGATTGAGATTAAAAAGTATGTAACTATTTATTTAGCCAGGACTCTTGTCTTTTAAAATAGAATCTAACTCAGTATATGAAATTTATTGGCATATGCTATTGCAAAGTACAAGTTGTGTGACAGGTTTCAGATGTGGTAGGACACAACAAAAGCCTTTAAAGGAAGCCTTGGGATTCTATGGTGCTTCATCTTTCACCTAAGTTTTTAACATTGACTTTATTCACTGAAATGCTCTCTTCATATAGTGACAAAGATATAAACATGCCACAGTTATATTTAAAAATGCTTAGTAGTGAGTGATTCACAGAGAAAGAAATAACTCTGATTGGCTTAACTACGGCTACAAATCCTTTCTGAATAACCACTCTAGCCAGGTGTGTGAGAATCACAGAGCCACTTCTGTGGCAGCCAAGGTGGAGTAGGCAATAGTCCATGACCAAAGGACGGAGCTTTCACAGAAGGAAGAAATAAATGAAAAGAGAAAAAAAATTACACACACACACACACACACACACACACACATAACAAAAACATAAAGTAAAGCTGGAATATTAACCTCAGGAAAGAATTTAAATAAAAAGCACATATGCAAAAAAACATTTATACTAATAAAAGTTAACTGCATAATAAAAACAGAACTGGTATGAGTCTCTATTAATTGAATAATATATCAAGAAAATACAGATAGAAAATCTGTTAAGAAAAATATGATAAATTGAAATTATAAATGATATAATTAGAATGTAAAATTTAAAATACAATAATCATTGTACATCAGATTAAATAGAAATATGAAGACCAGGAAGATCATACAACATAATCAGTAAGGATAAATGTTAATGTGTATTTTGACTTCTTAACCTAAAAAATGTGACTTTAATTTTCCATAAAAGATTTTCAGAAGTTGGTCATAAACTAAAACACCAATAAAAACAACCTCTAAATTTCCAAAACTTAAATTATGCTGTCTACAAGTAGACATTAATAACAAATATTTACATTTTAAGAGTTCCAAACACTAGAAAATTTAAAAATCCTCTTGAATTAATTATTGAGTCAAATAAGATAAAGAGGTTACTACTGGTTCCAAGTTTTTAGGATTTAATGAATTGAAAGTAGTAACATGAACATATTAAGTGAATGAGTCCCATTATTTTTAAATTAAATAAAAATGTTTTTTATGCTTAAAATTAATGACCAATTCAATACAAAAAAATGTTAAATGATTGTTTTGAACTTAATAACCTCTACTTTCATCAACTTAGTTTTATATTTTAAAGCCACAACTCATTATATTCCATATCATGTCTTCCAATGTGACCAAAAAATATATTTCTTCATATTTAACTCTTTCAAAAAATGTTGTTAATTAGAAGGTATCACACATGATGAAAAGGACAATAAAACTTGATTGAAAATTTAATTGAATTTTTTAATAATGATTAACATGAAGATGATAGAAAAAAATGTATTGAAATTTATCTCCAACTTTAACACATTTAAGTTAACATGTATCTTAGATACTAATGCTATTACTCTCTTAGATATATCTGAATTCCTAAATAGAATTTCCCAAATGAATTTGGCAAACCCTCTATCTACTAGAGGGCAGTAAAGTCTTGTTAAAGGCCCAGAAGATCACCAGTACAATTAGCTTCTTGAAAAACCACATGGGACAACTGTATGATACAACTTTAGCTTTGTTTTCTGTCAAATAGTAAATTCTCTCTGAGAAATCAATTTGGTTTTACTATTTACAATCTAAAACAAAACCCAATCTCTTGATCCATCCCAATCAATAAACACTAATTAGGAAGCTAATCATTACAATTAGGTTACAAATCAATTAAAATGGTATATGCCTTTTTAAGTATCAAATATTAACAATCTATAAAACTTTCTACTAAAAGAGTTTAAGGACTTCCTTTAAAATGGTCATTCAAAAGCTAAATAAGTGTCTCATTTAAGATATCGTGACTAATATTTATTATAAAATCATGTATCTAGCAAACTTTTCAATATTTAATTATTCATGGTAAAGAAATACCCAAAATAGAATTTTGGTGCTCTAAGAATATAGGTAAAAATGACTTAGTTGCCTAGCAACATCCCCCAAAATTAGAAAATGAGGAACTTTGTATACTCTTTAGCCATTTTTAAGAAAATGTTATTCCTGTTGTGCAGCATATTAGATCAGAGTGCCTTGTGAACAGGATTTTAACAGTCAGGAGATGTGACTGTGTTTAAGATTCCTTTTTCCAGTCACTAGTTCATTGTCAGCGGCAGCTACAGAGCAGCTTTATGTGCATTCAGAGACCGCCAGGAAATTAGTTCTGCATGACTGAGTCAGCACTGTAGCTCAGAGAAGGAGGATCACCCATTTCCTTAAGCAATTGTTTATTTCTTGTTGTGATAACAATATTAAATATTATAATTCCAGAGTAAAAAAAGAGTCACACCATTATAATTCACCTAAAAATCCAGTCACCCCTTCCTAAAAGAGTGACCAATTGTAATTTGTTGGGCTTTGCTATGTGCTGATAGCTCTTTATAGCTTAGTTAGTGTCTTCAAACCTTTTTCTAAACTACAGGAGACAGTGAAGTAAAATGTCAGTGAAATGAATTCAGGGGAAATGAACATTTAAAACTAGCAACAGCTAAAATGCAACTGATCTTTAAAATTAAGTCAAATGTTTTTGTTTCCATGGTTATCAAGGAAAAAATAGCATAGCATTAATATTTTCCTATCTGAACTAGTTAGTAAGCTGCATCCCAAAGCAAATTTGCAGTGTTCCCATGTGCTTCAACACTACCCATTCCTGTCCACATGTGGCCCTCGCACATCCATCCCCCAAATCACTCTTCATTTTTATTGCTCCTATAATAAGGCAATATAAAATATTCCTCTATCTAGTCCTATAGGTTAAACACTGTTTTCTAATTAAACTCTAGGTTCTTTATCTAAATAATGCCTTTGCATATTCTTTGAGCTTGAAATGGATTATTTTCCCCATTGCTGCGCATTATATGAACAGATGCAAGACTGAAAGTGGCCTCTTAGATTTTTGGAAACATTTTCTAATCATATAGCAAAATATGATATATATAACTCCAAAATATTATGCATACCCACACACATACACACATTCACACAATCACATATCTTTCAGTTTGAGCAAATTACTGTTACCTGAAACCAAAGGTATAACTCATTTAGAATTTAAAGTCTAAGAATTTTCTGAGGGAATTTCTAGGTACTTTAAGGCAAGATTCCTATTTTATGCTCTTCAGTGTACACTATGCAGTAGTCCCCCTGTACTCCCAGGGATAAGTTCCAAGACCCCATTTTGGTGCCTAAAACCACTGGTAGTACTGAACTCTACATACACAGTTTTTTCCCGAAGCATACATACACTTTACGGCTTCTGTTTGGACTATCCAAATTGCACCATCACTACATACTACATCACTCTTGCACTTTGCGTTAGTCGAACACAAGCACTGTAATAATGAGACAGTCCATCTGACAACCAAGGTGGCTACTGAGAACTAACAGGTGAATAAGGTGTACAATGTGGACACACTGGACAAAGGGATGGCAAGAGATTTCATCATGCAACTCAGAATGGTGCACAATTTAAAACTTGTGAATTGTTTCTTTCTAAAATTTACCATTTAATATTTTTCAGACCGCATACAACTGCAGGTAACAAACCGTAGAAGGCAAAACTGCAGATAAGGGGGAGACCTGTAAGTATTTATGTATTTTTATATATGCCTATTTTTAGAATTTTAACAAAATTATTAGCTGTCACTTTTTTGACCTGGGAAGATAGCATGAAACTATAATCTGGAAAAGGGCTAAGAAATTCAATTCAAATGAAATTCATGAGGCACTTACTCTATGGTTCAAACTTTGCCATGGTGCAAGAGTACCTGATACAGTTCTTACCTTAAACATTGTTCCTTTAACAACATGAAAGATACTACTTTCCCATCTGTCATAATTTTATGTTAAAAAATATATGAACATGTCAAGCAAATCAATTTGAAAAATTTTGTAACAGCATGAAGAATAGAACTTCTGCATAACCATATTTTTCAAATTGACCAAATTATCTTTTGTGATGAAGTGACGGGATTCCTAACTCAGGAGAATCAAGAGGTGTAATATATATTGATTCTGCTGAGTCACAAATGCCAGGAAAAATGGGGCATCTGGTTTACTATGAACTATTTGCCTTGATGTTAGAAATGGAGTAGTCTCATAAATGATAATTAATATAGTAGCCCAAGAAAAACAGAAAATTCTATTAAGTTTGGTTGTTTAATTTGAGCTTAATAAACAGCAAAGTGACATGAAGCTATTTTGTAGTAATCAAAAGTCCAGATGCAGCAAAAACCAAATTAAGCAATTGGGAGAGATTTGTATGCAACGAGTCAGACAAGGAGATCAAGGTATAATAAAAGAGTAAAATCAAAGCCAGTACAGTTTTACAACTGGTAAAGATTGTAGAGAGAAAGGCATCTCAAATACACTGGAGCCGGGGCAACATTACAGAAGGAAAAGTTCCTCACATAAGGAAGGACAATGGAGCTTCTATTCCGGAAATCTATACATTTGGGAGAATATTGGGAAAGGGGAGCTTTGGAAAGGTCATTGAAGCAACTGACAAGGAAACAGAAACGAAGTGGACAATTAAAAAAGTGAACAAAGAAAAGGCTCGAAGGTCTGCTGTGAAGTTATTTTAATGGGAGGTGAACATCCTAAAAATTGTGAAACATGAGCACATCATACATGTGGAACAAGTGTTTGAGACGCCCAAGGTGACTGATTTTGGCTTAGCAGTGAAGAAGCATGGTGAAAGTGAAGTCATGCTACAGACCACATGTGGGACTCCTATGTATATGGCTCCTGAAGTAATCAATGCCCATGACTATAGCCAGCAGTGTGACATTTGGAGCACAGGTGGCATAGTGTACAACTGATGCTCTGGAGAACCACCCTTTATGGCAGGCTTAGAAGAGAAGCTTTTTGAGTTAATAAGAAAGGGAGAACTACATTTCGATGATCCAGTTTGGGATTCCATAAGTGATTGTGCCAAAAGTGTTTTGAAACAACTTAGGAAAGTAGATCCTGCTCACAGAATCACAGCTAAAGAACTACTAGATAACCAGTGGTTAACAGGCAATACACTTTCTTCCGCAAGACCAACCAATGTGTTAGAAATGATGAAAGAATGGAAAAATAATCCAGGAAGTGATAAGGAAAACACAACAGAGCAAAAGAACAAGTGTTCCAGTCAAGAAAAGTTGGAAGGTTGCCAGCTCAGCAGACCCAGCGGAACTGTCCATGATGTCAACAGCACTTCAGATGAAGACGAGGAAAAAGAGCCCACTGCTTATAAAAAGAAATTTCCTGTGACCAGCAAGAAGGGAAATATGGACAACTTGGACACTAGCAGCTCAGCTTCCACATCTAGCAAACTCTCATCAGCTGGAATCAAGGGAGAACTGGAGAAAACCCTCTGTGACTTCAAGCCACAGAACAGCAACCAAATACACTGCAAAATCCTTTGCCCTGCCTAGAACCAAAAAGAAGTTCTAAGGTTCCCTCCAATGCTGAATAGCACAAAAACAGAGCTGCCCTTTCCAGTACTAAAATGAGGGGATAGGAGGTGAAAAGGACCAGCACTACATGAGCTTTTAGCACTACTGAGCCCTGCAGTGTGTTTGCACAACTTTATAATTGAAGCTACTTATCTCCAAGCCATGTGGTGTTAAAGGACAGCTACCAGCAGCTGGATGGCAGGGCTGCAGTTGAAATCAATGCAAAATCTTTCGAGGGTTGTTTAGAGGAGCAGATACCCTCAGAGCAAGGCTTGCTCAGTTTTACTTCACATTCTTAGATTTCAACACATTTATACAGAAAACAAGAACCAAATATGGTAATGAAGATTCCTAATAATTATGTGCACTTTGCACTAGAAGACTTTGTTAAGAAATTACCGAGAAATTTACCACCAGCATAACGGCAGAAGTGCCTCAGCCTTTCATGTGGGCTCTTGTGATGGTAGGTTGTATAGATTGTTTAACACAATTTAAATGTAGAAAAATAGGAGATTTTGTAACTGTTTGCCATTAACTTGCTAATAAATTCCCAGTGTATTGGTTCAATCAATAAAAGACATGTTAAAAAAAAATCCTGCTACTTTCTAAAAAAACTAAATCCTAGTTTTAGGTTCATGTTCTGAAAATATCCTAAAGCCACTCTCCAGAATCTATCAGAATCAAGGAAATTTTAATTTTGAGGAACTAAAGGGTGTCACAGTTTCACTTAGTGAAAAATATAAAACTTGTTCAAAAATATTCAGACTACTAGCCCACAAAAAATATAATTTATTACAATGCCTGAGAAATTGAGCTACCCAGGCTTGTGATAATAGCGTTAGGCTGTGCGAAAAGAAATGATTGCCATCAATATCATTCCATATTTTATCTAAAATATCTGCTAGCGAATATAAAGCTGGAATGAGACAGTGGGGGGGGAATACTTCTGATAATCTTTAACTCCTAACACATGCACAGTGGTGTACAAATATCACCAGGGATGCCTTCAGCAGGTATGCAGGTTCTGTTTTGCACAAAGGTACTTAACAGAGGAGGGATTGTGGGCTAAAATCTACTCTCACTCTGCTCTTGAAGGTATGGTTCCTAGTATAGGTCTGTGAGGGCCTAGAAGGATGAGGCACCTTTTAAAAACATATTTTGTTAAACTCCCTGATGAGTCAGTGGAGGCACAGGTCTTTGCTCACCCATGAAAAACTTTCTCTCTTCATTTGTGTTTTTTTTACCATTCCTGCCGTTATGTAATAAAGAGATTTCAGCACTTTGTACTACAATACATTTTTACATGCATTGCTGGCATTTATTGTAAGAAGAGGAGGCATTGGTATGTAATTTTCATCTTTTCATAGTTTGTTCAATTATTTTGCTTTCCACACTGAAATTATTCTTTCATTTAAAACAAAATTTGTTTAGTTAACTCAGCCCTAACCCAATAAGTTATTTAAAAAAAAAGATTTGTATCTTTCAAACAATGAACTGGTTGTATTTCATATTCTTTAATAGATACTAAAATACTAAAGTAACTACTTTGATCTTTGTCTTATTTAAAGAAAATATTTTTCCTAGTTTGAGAAAGAACTAGTCAAATTTTAAGAATAGAGATGTCTGTATTTAGCTACAAAGTTTTATTTTTCTGGGTAAGACAGAATTCTTGGAAAAAGAAAAGAAAAATATCAATTAATATATACAATACAATGGTGTGGTATTTCATATCACCAGCCAGTTGATGCACTGAATTTGAGGCATGATGCTAAGAATTATTCAAAAATTAAACTTTAAAATGTTTCTAAGCTCATTAGAAGCTGACAATCTGTAGTCATAAGTAGTTTCTACAAGACAACTATGTGACAAGACTTGCAAACATGTATTTACTTTCCAAAAACATAATTCCAATTTTAAGATTTTAGAGCTCTGCCTGAGAATGTGAAAAATTTAGGGATAATCAGATGGGAACTTTACTGAGAGAAAGGAAAATTAAATGGCGCGGGGTAGTCTGCAGCAGATGGAGGAAGATGATTAAGAGTTGGGATTCTTACAAAGAGAAGAGAAAAGTAAAAACAAAAATAAAGAAGAGACAAGGCATCTTCAAACACCTACACACACGCGCACGCACACACACATTACCTTTCTCACTTACTGTCATTTTATTTTAATTGTGTTTCATCACTAGTCATACTTCACACTCAACATCTGTTACAGGAGGGCTCAGCAGTTAATGATTTACAGTTCTATCCTGATCCTTTCCTATGCTTTGGTTGAATCTCTCACACAAACAGTATGCAAACTTATGACCCCCCTCCTTTCTCTCTAGGAGCTAGAATTGTTAATAGGAAAATGTTTTTGTTCAATATTACTTCTTGATTCTTACTGTAGTCATCCCAGACTTCCAATTACTTCCTTTAGAGGATGGGATTTAGAAGTCCATAAAAGATTGTTCATGAAAGCAATGAAAATTTGCAGTGATCTAGCCTGTGCAAAGACGTCCAGGAAATTTACTCTTGGTTGCAGCCTTGTGCTTTGGCCCAGAACCATTCCTGTTGCCACTTCAGTTTCTTGCAATATTACACAGTTCAACACCCAACATAGTAACATGATGTATGTTTTGCAGCTTCATTTACAGCAAGGAAAATAATAATACCTCAGAATAACATAGTATATCACATAGAAAATGAGCACAATGTTGAAGTTATTTAAAAAAGAGACCCTTTGATCCCAGCTAATGAGAAAGAGAGAGAGAGAGAGAGAGAGAATGTGTATATTGGTGTTACTATGCTTATTCATTAAAGGAATAGCGAAATAGACAATGGTCATTTGAGGTGTGTTGAACATGTATGGAAGTGTTATTTGAATTTGGTCAATTTGAAATCAGTGGGTTCAGTTACAGAATTTACGTATCTATGATATTATGCTTTAGGTAGATCAACTATGTAATGGGGTGTTTTATGGAAAGATATTTACTTGCTTGATTTACATTTGTCAAGATCAGCTGTTATTTCAAGTTGGATATTTAGTTTTCTAGATCTATAATAAGAGTAGAAACCAATAAAATAATAATAAAAATGAAGTTGCAATAGGTCTTCAAGTATATAAGATTCTGACTTTAGTAGCCATCTGCATCTCAGCAAACCATAATTCATATAGTGTATTCATATTTTCTAGAACAGTATCATAAGTTACCCAGTTATTTTTTTTCCTTCTTTAGGTTTCTAAATGCTCCAAACCAAACTTTTTTCTTCCCCTGCAGAATCTTGATACTCTGGAAAGTCCTCTGAGTTTTCTTCATCCATTATCTGAATGAACTGTGGAAATAATTCCTTGTTGTGTCTTTGGTAAGTGCACTAATGGACATGTGATAGACTCAGACCCTTGAAGGTAATGGTGTGAAACTGCTTCAAAACTGGCTAGAAAAACAGATCCCATTTCTGATCTCTTGATGGTTGCAAATCATACACTTTTTCTATTAAAGAACAAAACAGTCTCTCCAAGAATATTCCCCAGTTTTCACTCTAAAGATAAAAATTTTAAAATACTATATTTAAAAATAGCTTTCTAACCAAATAAGCATTTTGTGCAGAAAACTTTTAAAATCTAAATGCTTCGTAATTATGAACAAATCAGAGTTTTTCTTCCAGCCATAAAACTTACAGGCAATGATTATACCAATACCTTACCTAATAAAAAAAGAGAAATCTTACTAAGCACTATGCAATGTGTTTGTACATATTTCAATGTGCCCCAAATAAACCAGTAAAGTTAGTGTCTCTATTAGATCTCTGTTTTAGGTGCATATAAAATTAGTATCTTTCTGGGTGTCTTGTTTCATATTGAATCAGAGTATATGCTCTATCTTGTAAAATATTTTTTAATTGAATAATGACTTCATATCATATATTTACCTTCATTGTAGTTTTAGTCCACTTGCAGCAAGTTTTACAATTAGCATGAACTTGTTATTTATAAAAAATTGCCATTTTTAAATGACAATATTTTTTATTTATGAGTATTTGGATTATTTTTTTTCTTTGTGAGAATTTAGCTGAAGAGAACTTATATGACAATCTCTATAGTGTATGTTTTCTGCATATTCAGGGAAATCTGATTTATTTCTCACCCTAGCAATTATAATTTAATGCTTTAATCTTAAATTATTATATTCAATAACTGCTATATTTCTGCTCCTTTTCAAACAGCTACATTTTGTTTTTAATTATTTGTTTTGTAAGAGCTTTGCACAGAGTTATAATATCTGTGATCTAAAGACTATTTCACCCTCTCATGTGGTAGATTGAAGAAACATGTTGTATCCATTAAAAAAAACTGCCAACTAGCAGAGGAACACAATAGATAGTAATTCTTTATGAGCCAGAAATATTTCAGGTGAGTGGAGATATTACTGTGCATCTCTATTTTCACAGAGCCACTATCATTTATCCTCATAACACTAACCTTTGCAAAGTTAAAAATATAAAAGCATTGAAAAATGATTGGAATAAATTGTAAAAAAAGAAAAAGCTGTCTGGTTTTAAAAAGCCCGTTGATAAGACAAAATCTTGTGTTGTGACATGAGAAACAGAAATAAGAAAGGATGGATTAAAATGGGATGAGCTGTGAATATGTCTACAAAAGAATGAGTGAAAGAGGAAAAATAAAGACTCTAGAGAGTAGAAAAACAATTAGCAGGAAAATGCATAACACTTTCCCAACCCTACATCAAAATTTTTTAAAATGGAGCAAAAGTTTTGAGAGGTTGTTTTCATACCTAAGAAACCTTTGTATGAAGCTTCTATATTTCAGCTGCTAATTCCAGCTATATCAAAAGAATAAACAACTCAATACTTGTGTCAGACATATTTGGAATATCAATTATATCATAATATTGTGTTACTATGCATAATGGTTAAAAGGGCATGTTTTTGAGTGAGACAACATGGGCTTTAATCTTGGCAACACTATCTCTTAAATTACTTAAGCCTTTTGAAC